CATTCCTGCAGAACTTTGGAATGTCTGAAGTGCTTCCCACAGCCCTTAATGCATACTTACTTATTTCTGCCGCACTTTTCTCCCCAATGGGAAGCCAAAGTGGCTTACAAAATAATTCCTCCCCTCCTCTGTTTTATACAGTGCAACCCTGTAACATGGCCCAGTACACACTTCTGTATTGCAGAGGAGCAAGGGAAAGCAGAATCAACCTAAGCCCAGCCAGTGAGTTTTGTGACAAAGATTAGGTTTCAATTGGGGAGTCCCTGGTTCATAGTTCTTAACCCCCCATAGTATGCAACTCTGAAGCATCTAGTGTTTGGGATACCATCTCTGTCTTGATTTCCTGTGAAGATAGATTCAGGTGGGTGAGCTGTGTGGGATTGAAGCAGCAGGACAAAGTCCAGTGGCACCTTTAAGACAAACAGTTTTATTCTGGATATAAGCTTTTGTGTACATGCACACTTCCTCAGATGCATTGGAACAGAAGCCACCAGCCATTACATATAGGTAGAGGGTGGGGAGGGTATTGCCAGGAAGGGGAGCGGTGGCACAATGGGTATATCCCACTGTCTTAACATCTGAACTGTGTTAGTTCAAGCCCTGCGCCGGTGTGAGTAGTCAGCCTGTTGTCCCCAGCTCATCGTCCACCCAGCGATTCGAAAGCTTCGACGAGTAGATAAAAACTCCTTAGAGAGGGTGGGCACGCCAATCTCCCTTGTGGGAGGGCGTTAGCTGACGGTCTGACGTCCTACGGTCGAGGCTTGTAAGCCGAAACAGCTTCTCAGCTACGAAAAGAACGCCTGCAATGGATGTTCCGGCCAGGCGGTGGCAGTGTGGCGATTGACATACGGGCCCTGAAGCCTGGCCAGCAAACAGCCATGCGGGAAAATGACGGAGCCAGCCAGAAGACGTCTACACCTATTCCCCAAATATTTATACTACTTTAGAGCTCTCCTGATAAATCTTCCTAAATCCTCATTAACGAAATGGCAGAAAAATCTATCGAACTTTATCTGGCGCTTCAAACGTCCCAGAGTAAAATTCGCAACAACCAGAAGACCCCTTCGGAAGGGAGGACTTGCAATCCCGGATCTTCAATTATATTATTCAGCGTCACAACTAGCCAGTCTAATTCGTCAATACCATCAATCAGTAGAACTGGACTGGCATTATATAGAATTGAACTCGATGTCACAAAACGATTTCAAAGAGATTTTGTGGACAACAACCCACCGCTCGATGTTGAAAAGGATATCCAACCCGTACCTGAAAACCACATTGAAAATCTGGTTTGATAACAAAACCTTCTTAACCAATTCTCCCTCCGCATTAAGTACATTTACTGGACAAAGCTGGTTCCCACCTGCACTGGAACCGAACTCCTTCCATAACTGGAAGACAGCTAATTTGACGAGACCAATTGACATTGCGGTTAAGGGCAAAATATTACCCAAATTTGAATTGGAAAAGAAATGTGGCGGCAAAGTGGCATGGATGGAATATATACAGGTGCAACATCTGCTCCAGGATAACAAATTCAAGTCAACTCTTTATAAACCACTTACCAACTA